GGGGGGGCCTCTACCAGCTGAGCAGGTTGCTTCGGCCCAGAGTCATGAAGTAGACCTGGCTGGATCCCCCAGAGCGAACGGAGGCGAAGAACACCTGAGGGGACGAGAAACAGAGGCAGGTTCAGCTTTAAAGAGAGGCCGAAACCCCCCCCACCATGAAGAGGGGGGGGGTAAAGGCCCGGTCTGTCATTTCCCGCACAAAAACGCAGACAAACGGGAAGCAAAGCTCAGAAAACAGAAGAGAAATTAAAGAGTTAGAAGCTACTTCCACCCAGGCAGAGAGAACAGGTCCCACATTAGCATTAGCGTTAGCATTAGCATCTCCTGACCCAACAGGCCTGTGTCCTAACCATTAAGTTGTTATCAGAGTAAATCCCTGTTCAACAAGAGTCTGACAACTAAGTAAGTAGATAAATAACTTTAGACTTTAACACATGCTCTGATAGGCCGGGATCGGGTTGGGATCGGAAGGGAAAAAAGCTGGATGGGGACATCCCTAATGCAGACCCACTATTTATTTATTTTTTATTCAACTTTTTTATTGACCAAACTTTAAACACACACAAAAAAGGTCCACATAGTTTGTTACATTGTCCTATTGTACATGCAATTCAGACCCACTTTAACCCTTTAAAGCCTGATCCAAGAAAAATAGGAAGAATATTGGATTTTTTTAGTCTGAAGTCTTTCTTTGGCCCCTCAACAGCATGTGAAGAAAAAAAAAACAGAAATTATTTTGATCAAATTAGCGTGCAATAAGTCAAAAACATATGTTGGTGTAGTCTTCTACTGGCTGTTATCAGGTATATCTGAATGTGTACAACAGGGGTTAGAGCAAAGCTTTTACCACTGAATGATGCAGAAAGTCTCAGATCCAAAAGACTTCAGAAACCGTATGAATCAGATATGATACATTTGGCACTATAGGGAAAGCTGGAGGCTTTTGAGAGGTCACAGAAGCCTCGATAAGGGCTTAAAAAGCTTGTTTTGGTTTATTCTCATGGTATTTAGACA